CGATCCATTCATTTCGCAAAAAACAAAAAGAAAACGCAGCGTAATTGTTATTTATCGACTGGAACACATATAAATAAACGTTCTGGAATGTTTCGCTCTATTCTCGTTATAAACAACAAGGAATTTCGCTTTGTTTATAACTAATTGTATTATTTATGCAATTGAATTGTTTATATAATTGAATACATAAAAAATGTCCTGATTTGAATCCTAGTTTAATTATATAAAATTGCAATATTAATAACTTGTGTAATTTTATATGATTTTCTTTATCTTTAATTAAAAATTGCTGTAATTCGATTATTTCTTGGATAAAAGTCGTGATTTGAAGTGTCCTTGTATGTAATGTGGAATTCATTCAAAGTGGAAGAGAGGAGAGGAAATAAAATTTAAAAAAAAATGTGTATATATCAGAGGGAGAGAAAAAGTTTTGAACCATTTGTCTTTGTAGGGTGTAAGAAAATGGATTGCCGTTTCCCAGGATTTGGCACCGAAACTCTTTTTCCTGACCTTTTCCATATCGGGACACATCTTTCTCGTACAACACATTATACGGAACAAAACGATAGCACACGTTTTCAACATTATATAAGATCTAAATCGCGAATAACACCAAAGAGGGTGGCATAAATCGTTTAAAATGTATTTGCCTCGCTCGAAATTAGTATGTTTATCATGCCACGTGCACGTGAAACTCGCGAAAAGTCAAGCAACGTGCGTAAAGGATAATATTTGGATGATATCATCGTGGCAAAATATATTAAAAAAAATATGGTTGATACACAGTTTTTCAAAAGAAACTTCTTAAATAAATAAAGCATTTTAATCCATTACAAGCAGTTTTTCATCATTGACAACTCAAAAAATTTAAGCAACTTCCGTAAAGCATTATACTTGGATGAAGATGTAATAGATGGAAATACTTAGATGAAGAGTTTTATCATCATGTGAAGAATTATCTTATAAAATTGATGGTTGATGGACAATTTGTACTAAAACTTCTTAAAGAATAAAACATTTTTACCATTAAAATTAGTTTTTTTCATACATGGTTCAAAAAAGTTAAGCAATGTCTGTAAAGGGATAGTACTTGAATGAAGAAGTTTATCATCATGAGAAGAATTATCTTATAAAATTATCCTAAATAAAGAAAATGTTTACTCTATTAAAATTAGTTTTTCATTATTCACAACTTAAGAAAGTTAAGCAACGTCAGTAATGGATAGTATTTGAATGAAGTGATATAACATCATGAAAAAGTGTATTTTATAAAATTTATGGTTGATAAACAATTTGTAATTAAATCATCCTAAATAAAGAAGATTTTTACTGAATAATTATCTTATAAAATTGATGGTTGTTGAACAATTTGTAATAAAACTTCTTAAAGAATAGAACATTTTTACCATTAAAATTAGTTTTTCTTCATACATGCTTCAAAAAAGTTAAGCAATGTCTGTAAAGGGATAGTATTTGGATGAACAGATACAGCATTATATAAAGGATTAAGTTACAAACTTTACTGCAAAGGATTAAAGCACTTATCTTAAAATATTTTTATGGTTGACTTAAGACTTGTAAGGAAAAACCTCATAAACAAATACATCATTTTTTGAAAGTTAATCAATGCTTGTAAAGTATAGTACTTGGATTGATAATATAATGGAAGACATTTGTCTTAAATCTTGATGGATTATTTATAAAGAAAGCCTTCTAAACAAATACATAATTTTGCCAAAGTTAAACAACGCCCGTAATGGCTTTTTCTTGAAAAGATAATATAATGGAAAATATTATTGTATGGCTAATGGACGATTTGTAAAGAAAACCTGCTAAATACAAACATCATTTATCGTTAAACAACAACATTTAACTTACAAAACGTGATGGTTTTTGGACGATTATGAAATAAAATCTCCTAAATAAATACATCATTTTTGCAAAGATAATTTCGCATCGATTTCAGCAGCTGCTCATAAACTATAGATAATTCTTGAAGGAATTAAACGCTAAAACAGCAATAAACTGGACGATATTGGTTGACCTGTTTTAGGCCGTAAATCCAGGACCACAGGTGTTTTTCCGGAAGGGCTGGTGCTCGCCTCTTCGGGGACGAATAAATTTCGCAATATCGGTTCAATATTTACCGAAGAATATAATCCAATCTTGACATTACCAAAAAAAAATTACACAACGAAAATTTGCTTAGAACTGAATCGCTCAACGTCTGATGTTTCACGCGAAAACTGGAACACTGTAATTATATCTTTATATTTTTTACTTTTTTTTTCGTAATTCGCTAACGAAATCGATCGAATGGTGGGATGTGCAGGGAAAGGGAAAATATCGATGACCTGTTTTCCGAGCTGGAACAAAAGCCGAGAAACATGAAATAAAGTCTAATACAATGAACGCAATTCCCGGTGGACGGCGCAAAGAAGATGAAAGGAGAAGAATAAAAAAAAAGGAGATGGAGAAAAAGAAGAAAATAAAATGGAAGAAACGTCGGACATCTGGTGACTGTATAGTTTATGATTGCTGCACTAAATTAAGATATAGATGCCCTCAAAAATGAGGGTGGCATTCCATTTTCTTTTATTGCAACATCAATAGAGATCACAGAAACATTTGTTTCCTTCATCATTGTATTCAGTGTGAATGATTGGTTTTTAGGAACTATAAAATTTGGCGCCTAACGTGGGGCATCACCATAATTTAGACGTTGGGGTGGCACTCCATATTATTTTATTCGTTATAGATCATAGAAACATTAGTTTTCTTCATTGCATTCGGTATAAATGATTGGTTTTTATAAAATTTGGCGACTAACGTGGGACACCACCATAATTTAGATATTAGGGTAGCATTCTATATTCTTTTATTCGTTATAGATCATAGAAACATTAGTTTTCTTTATTGTATTCGCTGTAAATGATTGGTTTTTAGTAACTATACACTTTGGCGCCCAACGTGGGGCACCACCATAATTTAGACATTTGGGTGGTATTCTATATTATTTTATTCGTTTCTATTTATTAGATCATAGAAACATTAGGTTTCTTCATTGTATTCGGTGTAAATGATTGGTTTTTAGTAACTATACAATTTGGAGCCCAACGTGGGGCACCACCATAATTTAGACATTTGGGTGGAATTCTATATTCTTTTATTCGTTTTTATTTATTAGATCATAGAAACATTAGATTTCTTCATTGTATTCGGTTTAAATGATTGGTTTTTAATAACTATACAATTTGGCGCCCAACGTGGGGCACCACCACAATTTAGACATTTGGGTGGCATTCTATATTCTTTTATTCGTTTCTATTTATTAGATCATAGAAACATTAGTTTTCTTCATTGCATTCGGTATAAATGATTGGTTTTTATAAAATTTGGCGACTAACGTCGGACACCACCATAATTTAGATATTGGGGTAACATTCTATATTGTTTCATTACAACATTAATATAGATCATAGAAACATTTGTTTTTGCATTGATTTCGGTTTAAATGAATGGGTTTTTATTAAATTTAAAATTTGGCGCCCAACGTGGGGCACCACCTATCTTAAATGGCCTATTACACTCATTTTTACCTGTAAAATATACTAGATAATTTACATTTAATCAATGAAATCTTCAAATCAACAAATACAAATTGGCGCCTAACGTGGGGCCACCAAATTAAATTTTCTTAACAAACCAAAACCAATCGATAAAATTTAATTTAAAAAAAAATAAATACAATTCATATTAATTCAATCGCTAAACTGAACTTTATATTGCACAACAATACGAATAAAAGAAGTTTATATAAATGTTTCATTCCGTTGCGAACGTTAATCTAAAACAGTATTTGCAGAGAAAGAGGCAACATACATCATCTTTCCCCTCGGGGCCTTCGATTCCAAACGATATTTATACAATGATAACTAAATGGTGTTTCAATCGGCAGAGCAAATATTTTCAGAGAGAAAGAGAAACCGCGCGAGCGGCTTCGATTGGAGAAGGGAAAGTTACATAATTGAAAGTACAATTGAGGAGGGTAAAATATTTCGTTCCATTCTTGTTTTCAGGGTCGATCATTTGCTGCTGCTGCCTTCTGTTGATTCAACAACACTCTCACATGCACAACAAGTTTGTACTACAACAAACGTACATCCCCACTTGTGGCCTATATATATACGCATACAAACGCCCTCTGTTTACTTAACACGCACTATCATCATTTACACAACACAATTGTTGTTTAGCAACGATGTTTAACAATAATTTTTTTAAACCTGCTTTGGAATCCCGACTATTAACATTGATATTTACATGATTACATTGTTTAACAACAATGAGAACATTCTGATAACTTCAATAAACTCATATTTTCTTAATTCTAACGGTATCTTTAGTAATAAAAGTATTGTTTCATCGCTTTATGTAAACGTTGGTATTATTAATGCAAGGATCAAACTTTTTCATCTTCCAACTTTTATTATACTTCGATGAATTAAAAAAAAATTGGTGACTAACGTGGGGCACCACAGATAAACTTTGATAGGCAATCATGTTTATTTTAAAGTAATATCAAAATACAAGTTGAAAAATATTAATTTGGTTCAATTCATTTAGTATTTAAAAAAAATGGGGACTAACGTGGGGCACCATCAAAGTAAAAATATAGATAAATTTTGGTTGGCAATCATGTTTACATTAAAGTAATATCAATATATATTTGAAAATTGTTAATTTCGTTTGATTTCCTTGGTATTCAAGAAAAATGGCGACTAACGTGGGGCACCCTTATTTTTAAATATAGATGAATTTTGATACGTTTCTTTGAATTATTCAACTTCGTATTTTGCATAAGTCAAATGTTACATGTATATAATGTAAGATGAGTATAAACGTGAGCGATATTTCCACGGCTAAATGTTAACCTTCGGAGGTTAGCGCATCATTAAAATGTATGCAGCGTCGCGGTTTCAATCAACGCAGATCCGATTTCCATCTCGCGTTTATTAATTCGTGGAATATATTAGTAACCGTATCACCATCATCATCATGATCATCTTGCAAAGGTGTGAATATGGATGAGACGAGAAGTGTAAATTTTTTATCGGAAATACCTCTGGTGTTACGAAGTAGCTGGGACTCTTCTCGATGGTGACTTGACCGGAATAGGAATGGGGCATCTTCATGCGATACCATTCCAAACCCTTGTTGTAGTTCTCATCCCTGTCGAAGAAATGCACCTCCCCTGCTGCTTTCTGCACGCGCGGATGCAAATTTAACATCTCAAGGAGCGCCCTCGTTCCGCATTTCCTCACACCTGCAACAAAAAAAAACATGGAACAATCAACAGTTATCCTTTATCCGCACTATACATTCGCCAGAGGACGAAGCTTTCAACCAGCACAAACGGCGTGTAAAATTGCAATACACTTGGAGCGAAAAACCATTTGAAATTGCAACAAGTATAAACGATTCGATATTTTAACAACTTTTTTATTTTGGTACAATGACCTCTAGTAAAATAAATGAAATATGTAAGTAGGACACGATAAAAATACGATTCTTGTACAATTGAACAAAAATTCCTCATTGTATTCAAAAAACGATGAAAGTTACATTCTTTAAAAAAAAAGTTATAGAACCAAAATGCTTATAAATAAGAACGAAATAAGTACGTACATTCATTCAATAAAAAGTAGAATAAATTAATTAAAAAAAATACTATTTTAGTGGCGCCTAAAGGAATGCAACAAAAAACGCAGACGTCTAGCGCTTATCTGAAATACGCACAAAATTTATGAATGAAAATAAGCGAACAATGAATGAAGCGTAGTAATAAACACGTACACAAAAGATGTCTATCAAATTCGGTCTAGCTATAAAGATAATTTTTTTTCATTCTAAGTACCAGAGACACAAAAACACAAAAAAACTGTAGACATTATTTCCTTGTCTGGAGTATTTTTATTTGATTCGCGCGTAAATTTAAAAATATATTTGTAAATATTTCTTTCAATACTTAAATTTCCTTTTTATTAATGTTTATAATTTTATTGTTTATGAGAAGAATTTTCCAGAAATGTAGACATTTGTTGTACGTTTGAAAAGTGTTAATTGACGTATATAATGTATAAACAATTGACATTAACAGTCATGGGACAACTGCGATAACGGATTGAGAATTAATGTGACGTAATTTGCATAAAAATAAATCATCAATGTCAAATAAAAGCATTGGAATTTAAATGAATGTTTCAGTAAAATATGGCATAATTAGGTCGATCAAATTTATTGGAAACTATTGACAAGTGTCAAAATATATAATTTAACTGGTGTAGTTATTTCAAAATTAATGACACATTTTTGACATAAGTAACTTCAATAACAAGTGACACATCGTTGCATAATTGTTAATAAAGAAACGTGGATAATTGGTTTTTTGGTAAAAATTTAGATAAAAGAAGTGAAAAAATTCTGAAAGTATAATTAACTGAAAAATATTTGAAAAATTGCTATGTGACCAGTAGATATTTGAAAATGTCATTGACAAGTGACACTTCGTTGAATCAATGTGAATAACAGAACATGTATATTTGGATTTCAGGCAAAAATTTCTACATTTATAAAAACAAGCGAACATTTCTGAAAGGTAAATTAGGATAATTAAATTAACTGAAAACTATTGATAATTTGTTATGAATTCTGTGACTAACAGATGTCTGAAAATAAATGACATAAGTAATTGGACAAATCCAAAATGTCATTGAGTGAGACTATGTTGAATCATTGTAATTAACGAAACGTGAATACTTGAATTTCAGCCAACTATTTCAGTATTTTGAAATGGAAATAAAAACACAATTAATTGTCACAAGCAACATCTATTATAGCTGTTTATCAAATAACGACACAAATTTGACATATGTAAATGTCATTAACATTGCATCACCGTAGGTAACGAAACGTGAAAACTTGGATTTCAGCCAACTGTTTCAACATTTTGAAAAGGAAATAAAAGAAATTCTAAATGCATAATTAGGTCGATCGAATTAACTGTTGACAAGGTAGGTAAGGTATCAACAGATGTTTTCAAAGAGGTTTCATGTGATCAGTGTGTATGTTTACAGCTGCGACGTACCGATTATTATTGCTTGCGGCAGTTTTCGTCCTGCCGAAGGATAGAGTCGCCTGGAGAGGAGGAAGAGTGATGGCCTGTTGTTGTGGTCCGCGTTGCCGGCCCTTTGCAGACTGTTAATGGCGCTGTCGTAAATCATGTGAAAGGTCAGGCATAAGGACAAGATCATCACGGCGAGGATAGCAAATGCCATCTTCGGCCGTGACACGCCGACCACCACCACGCAGTCGGCAGGATCGTTCTCCACTGATCTCATCGCAATCCTCGGCAACCATCTGTTGAGAGAGAAAAGAAACACAGATATAGAAATAGAACAAAAACAAATTCAAAATAGTAATGATTTCATGCATCAACACTATGTCTGATGTAATACTTAAATATTTGTCAGAAGTACCAAACTATACTTTAACTTGTAATCATTGGATATAATTGAGTCACAATTGTCAACTGTCATTACCTGTTTAAATTAAATTTGAAAATTAATATTATATTAAAGAAACAATGTTTTAAATAATACTGTCATTGTTCAGTTAACGTACATAATACGTTTGCAATTTGTCTTACACTGAATCGAATCATTACAGAATGAAATCAAAACGTTATAGATTGGTGATCATTGGATATAATTGATACAAATGTCAAACACAACTGTCAACTGTCATTTTCTGTTTAAAGCAACGTTTGAAAACAAATATTATATTAAAGATACAATATTTTAAAAATATATTATCATTGTTCAGTTAACGTACATAATACGTTTGCTTAGTCGTACGCTGAATCGAATCATTACAGAATGATTTTGCTATTAACGGTGAATCAAAACATTATGGATTGATAATCATTGGATATAATACTTTTGCAACTTGTACGCTGAATCGAATCATTACAGAATGATTTTTCTATTAGCGATGAATCTAAACATTATAGATTGGTGATCATTGAATATAATTGAGACAAATGTCAAACACAACTGTCAACTGTCATTGTCTCTTAAAAACAAATTTTAAAATTAATATTATATTAAAGAAACAATGTTTTAAATAATACTGTAATTGTTCAGTTAACATACATAATACGTTTGCAACTTGTCGTATGCTGAATCGAATCATTACAGAATGATTTTGCTATTAGAGGTGAACCAAAACATTATAGATCGGTAATCAGTGGATATAATTTAGACAAATGTCAAACACAACTGTCAACTGTCATTGTCTGTTTAAAGCAACGTTTGAAAACTAATATTATATTAAAGAAACTATGTTTGCAAAATATTCTGTCATTGTTCAGTTAACGTACATAACACGCTTGCAATTTGTCGTACGTTGAATCGAATCATTACAGAATGATTTTGCTATTAGAGGTGAATCAAAATATTATAGATCGGTAATCATTGGATATAATTGAGACAAATGTCAAACACAACTGTCAACTGTCATTGTCTCTTAAAAACAAATTTTATATTAAAGAAACAATGTTTTAAATAATACTATGATTGTTCAGTTAACATACATTCAGTTAACGTAACGTACGTTTGCAACTTGTACGCTGAATCGAATCATTATAGAATGATTTTGCTATTAGAGGTTAATCTAAACATTATAGATTTTTCAGCGTATTCTACGTTTACTCAAACGTACACCATTTTTTTTTCATTCTTCGTTCGCTCGAACGTACTTTATTTTCAAACTAACTTACACTTATTAGTAGGAAGATTTTATACTAAAAAATATAATTATGTACATATTATCGAACGTACGTTAAGTGAGTTATAACAGTATACTAAATTGAAGCAATTTCTATTCAACATATCATAAAATAAAATAACAAACATATTTTTTTGCAAAGTAAGCAAATGGTTTCATTTTTACCCCTAAAATTCATCCCTCGTTTATATAAAAAAAAAAGCGTAACGCAGAATATGATACATTAAGGTTTGCGGCGCAATCTGCGTGAAATACAGGCCACCTCCTACACATCCTCCTCAAACCACCCCGTGTTTATTTCAGGCGCATTAAACGTGGAGAGTCCGTGTTATTACCTTTTATTACATCATTTTCCAGCGCATTAATGTCCCCAACTCCCACGCTGAAAACACGCCCGGCAGCTTCTTAGATGGCGCTCGTTTACTATTATTACCACGATTACCATGGTTACCAGATTATCGTTGGTCCAATTTCAATTAATCCAAAAGTACGCGCGTCGACCGACAGATGGCGTCATCCCAAATCATTTGATTACGCAATCGAACGATACATACACGGGACGTTCGCAGAAACGTACAGATAGATAGAGAAACGCAATCTCGTCGAAATGATGTACGATAACCGATTGTTTTCATGGAACTATTTGCATTCCCAGAAGGTTAACTCGCAATTGCTGTCTCATATCTCTTTCACCACTTCGAGCCTTGCTCGCGCGTGCAATTCTCAATTTTATTTTTATCCTTATTTTTATTTACGTAATCATCACGAATGAAACGTAAGATTTCCTTTCCTGCAATCTATAGGTGAGGAGAATGAAGATGAAAATTTGTTTTTAGAGTTACAAGAACAACAACAATAACGCAAATACAATACGTATTTAAATATAGAGCACTGAAAATCAGAATGAAAAAACAAAACAAAAAATAGAGACGAGTAGTTTGTTTTTCATGGCAGACGTTAAAAATAGACGTTACGTGAGCGAATTCACTTTTTTCGTCGTGATGCAATCGCCGTTCGGTCGACCTCCCAAAAATTTCGTCTGACATTACATTTTGAAAAATCTATTTTAACCTTATGTCCTACATCTGCACTTTTTCATATGCAAATACAATAGTTTATCTTTTAATTAAAAAAAAATCACATAAAAATATATTTTTTTGGATTTATCAAGAAGTTTTTCATAATTATTAAAAACAAACGTTTCTAATGGAAAAAACTGAGTTTTTTAGATTTATGTATTTTTTAGTTATGTTTAATTTCTCAAAATGTAATTTTCTTGAATTTATCTAAAAGAATCATTTATTAAAAACTGCCATTTTTATATAGATTTATGTATTTTTTATTATTATTACTTATTTAAAATTAGAAGAAAAAAAAAATTATTATATAAAAATGATATTTTTTCTATAAATGTATTTGTTTTTTTAATTATTTTTGCTTATTTAATATTAGAAGACAAGCATTAAATTATTTTAATAAAATGTAATTTTCTTGAATTTCTCAGTAAATATATCATAATTATTAAAAAAAAATGACATTTTTTATAGAATTTGTCAAAAATTGTCATCTTGATGACCAACTTCATTTTATATGAAACAGTATTGTTAAACATAGTTATTAAAAAAAAAATGACATTTTTTATATAGATTTATGTATTATTTAATATTTATTATTTTATATTTATTTACTGCAAAATTTTTACAGAATATTTGATATATATTAAAAAGCTTTAATAATGCAATAAGCTAACATTTTTATATAAAATTACGAACATTTTATTATTCAATATTATCAGACAAAATAATTTCACAAAATACTCTAAAATTTTACATACAATATTTGTTACAGCTCCAAAAAAAGGCAATTAAACAAAACTCAAATATGTTTTAAATTAATTAAAATTTCTTGTATATTTGTTGAAAATTGAAATACATTTCTATAAAAGAAAAACAAATTTTAGCCCGAACGGCAAAAACATAAAAATATATATAATTTTAGCTTTTCGCAACATTTGCTGCAACAACAACAACAAAAAAAATGCGAAAATATATTTTGCACATTTGTCGGAATTCAATCGGCTAGGATTTATTTGTTACATATTTGCTTTAGGGATTTTCATTTCCACGTTGACTGCACGAAAAATCAACAACAACAACAACAAAAAAACAAACATCGATTTTCATCCCACCCGAAAACGTAGACAAAATTCTGTATATATTTATCATCTCGTGTCATTCCGTGTTTGCAAATCCTGCTTTCGCATTGTCCGATAAATATTTTTTTTGTACGTTTGAGATACACGTCAGATTTACATACACTAAAATTTATACAATCTAAACAACCGGAAACGAAGGAAAACGTATAGCAACAAACGAAATGGACAAAAATAATCTAAAATGAAATGTAAATATTTGCAATTCTAAAATCCCTAAATTTTTTGCTTCATTGTTACATCTGTTATAGATGTACTTAAAAAAAAGTTAGGTTAGGTTAGATTAGGTTATGTTTCTATTGGATAAGCTATGATAGTTTATATTGTAATGCAAAATTAATACAAATACAAATGTACATTTTAATTTACATTTGTATTTACATTTGTATTTCTTTAATTTCAGGTTATGATAGTTTTTGTTGAAGATTTTTTGAAGTCGTGTTTTGCAAAATTGCTTTTTATTATTATGTTGTGGAGTATTTCGGTATCACAAGTGGCTCCTCCACAGAACTAACGTCAAAGCTTTTACGGCGGATATATCCGCCGCTTGCCCGCAAAGTGTTAAGTGTCTAGAGACAAGTGACTTTAAAGAAATGTTATTGTAGTTGTATAAAGAAATCCAAAACTAAAAACAGTGAATTTGTTAATAATATTGTATATAGTGAGGACATTAATAATTATTTGCAAGCGACGAAGAAAAATTGGACGAAATTAAGATGAAAGTTGAAAGATAAAACGAAACACATTATCATGGATCAATAGGACATCAACCTTTAATTCGTTCGGCCCTGCCCTTTACAACACGATTAGTATTAACACAGAAATGACGTAATTGCGGAATTACACTAGAAAGTAAAGAAGTAATGATGATGGTAAAAAAAAACTTACACAAAATTTGATTCTTGCTAAAAATGAACGTAAATTTCTTCAATAATGGAACAAATCACTGACAGATTTCTGCTGAAATAGACCATCTTCAAGTTTTCAAGATAACAACGCATGATAATTACATATTTCAGTATCATAAACTGAAAAACTTCTACCATCGATATTTCGTCTTTTTCAGATCATAGCTGACGAACGGATAGAAGCACAAACAAGACTCATTTGAAAGGTGAGACTTTCAGCATTGATTTGTATATTTGATGATCTATCTTAGGAAAACTAAAGATTTCTAAAATCGACGTTTCTCGATTTACGTAACTTTAATTCAAGAAAAACGAATGAAATTCCAGCAAAATTTTAGGATCAATGAAAAATTATGTAATTATCCTGAAATTAATGAAAACGTTGATCTGGTCAACCAACGAAACTTTTGACAGCTCAGACCAGACGAAGGGATGACAGCACAAAAATGTCA